TATTTAAAAACATAACATTTCTGAGAGCATACTTTTATATCAAATGCAAGGTCACGAAGAGTTTAAAGCTAACTACTTTTCAACATGCAATTTTGAAATATACAGTTTATATTATTAGATTAATGTTTTCAGTAGCATAGAAAACCTTCTAATATTTCCTAACCAACCCCTCTTTTAAATAGAATATAGATAATGTGGCGCTGCTGGCATTCACATTAACCATGCCATAATAGGTTCTGAAACAGTTTGTGGGGTTGGGTGGACCTTAAGTGGTTTTGTGTTAGAGCAGTAGTTAAGAAACCAACTACAGAACAGTCTCCGGTTTTAAATCTAGGTCATACTATCCTTATTCAAAAGCAAGCAACAACTAGACGATTTATTTTACTTCCTAAAAAGATGTTTTTGTTGTTATTGTTAAAAAAAAAAAAGGAGCATAGCCTGGTTGAAAAATATTGATTTTCCTCAAAATTTATTATGAAAAGGCATATTTATTTTCTAAAATAATTTATATTCCCACGACTTCACGTAAGGAATTTCTTTCTCTGTTACAGAAAACTCACCAGCAAAATTAACACTAAATTACATTTAACTAGACTTGTGCCAGAAAATATAAAATCTATGTAACCACTTTCAATTTGCGATGGGGAAAGAGGGAAGGGATAAAGGCAGAGATGTAGACAGAAAGCAGAACATAATTTGAATTTGTTTTCAAAAATACATAAATTAAGTAAATAAATAAATAGAGAAAAATATTGACTACTGTTAAATCTAAGTGGTAGTATGTGTACGGGCACTATATTTTTCTTCCTCCAATTCTACCTACAAAATTTTTTAAAAATACAATTTCCAGAGTATATCGTAAGATCAAGTACAGATTCAACCCAGTCTCCTGCTTCAACACTGCACTGTTAACTGATGTCCTAGAGGCATTATAGCCAAGATATTATATGCCTCCACTGGCTCTGGAGGCAGAGTGCCTGGGTTCAGATCCCAACTTTGCCAGTTATTGGCTGCGTGATCTTGAGCAAATAATATAAATGCACTAACTGCCAATTTCTTTGTCGGTATAATGAGGATAATAATAGTCCTCTACCTCAAAGGAGTTCCAGTGAGAAACTACACGTAAAGTGCTTAGCACAGAGCCTGGCCCATAGGTAAATGGTGGATTACCACCTTGTTACAGTAACCAGAGGGTACCTTAAGACAGAAAAAAGACTAAATGACATTACATCATAGAAGTTTGGGGTTATTCAGATGGCATTGTATAAAAAATCGGTAACTCATACTTGATAAGATCACAGAGGGCCTCTGGTCACCATTACAATAACAAAAATCATAACCCAACATTTATGTGGTACTTTACTATGGGCAAAGCACTGTGCTACGCACTTTACATGTAGTTTCTCATTTGAACTCATATGAAGGAAGGAATTATTATTATTCCCATTTCACAGACAAAGAAATTGAAGGTCCACATGTATACATAATTTGCTGAAGATTACGAAGCCAGTAACTGGCAGAGTTGAGATCTGAACCTGGGCAATCTGCCTCCAAAGCCTGCTTCTGGCAGAAACTACCCACCTGAACTTGGGCAAGTCATTTCACACATCGGGACTTCGATTTCCTCCTCTGGAAATGGAGCAGAATGGTGAAATAGGTGCTCTCAAAGTCCCTTCTAAATTTCTATGAACAGGGCTATTTAAAACCAAATTCACTACGTATAGAAAACATCTCTGCTCTAGTCCTTTTACCTACCTAGGCTTCTGTCTTACATAAATCTAGAATGACGCATACGCATAATTCCCCAGTGGAGTGCCTCACTGTTCTTGAGCTCTATTGGTGGCAGGCATCAACCCGATAGAGAACCTCACTACATAGTTCCATATCTAAGTCCCTTTGAATGGAGTCCAAAGAGAACCTGACTTAAAATGAATTCTACCTAACAGCACTAGTGCTACAGGGAAGTTAAGGACACATATCAACAAAATTAGCCAAAGCTCTAGGACCTGAGTTATGTCACTCTACCTCTCAGGACCTCAGTTTCCTTATTTATAGAAATGAAGTAGTTTTTAGACACAAGAAATACCTAAGGAAGCAGCCACCCCAACCCAGGAAAACCAATCAATTTTGTTAGAACTGAGAGAAAGAGATAAGGAAGCATGTGTAGTTTGAAAAACCACATTCAAATACAGTTATTGCTTTTACAATATAAACCACAGAAGTAAAGCTCCAAAAAATCTATTGTGTTAGCTGGCAAAAGAGAGTGAAGCAGCCCTGAGGGGGGCG